CTGTCACCTCTTTTGCCCATCCCCCACCCTCCTCCTCTCTGACAACCACTAGTTTGTTCTCTGTATTTATGAGTCTATTTCTCTTTTGTTTGCTCCTTTTTAAAAAGATTTTTTATTTATTTTTATTTACTTATTTGAGAGAGAGAGCAGAGATAGTGACAGAGATAGCAAGAGAGAGCACAGGTAGGAAAGAGAGGGAGAAGCAAGCTCCCCGCTGAGCAGGGTGCCCAACGTGGGGCTCGATCCCAGGACCCTGAGATCATGACCTGAGCCAAAGGCAGATGCTTAACAGACTGAGCCACCCAGACGCCCCTATTTGTTTTGTATTTTAGATTCTACATCTAAGGAAATCATATGGTACTTGTCTTTCTCTTACTTATTTCACTTAGCATAATAACCTCTAAGTCCATCCATGTTGTTGTGAATGGCAGAATATCATTCTTTTTTATGGCTGAATAATATTCCATTATGTTTATATACCACATCTTTTTCTATTCATCTATTGGTGGACACTTAGGTTGCTTCCATATCTTGACTATTGTAAATAATGCTGCAGTGAACATAGGAGTGCATATATCTTTTCAAATTCGTGTTTTCATTTTTCTCAGGTAAATACCCAGAAGTAGAATTACTAGGTTATACAGTATTTCTGTTTTTAGTTTCTTGAGGAACCTACATACTGTTTTCCATAGTGGCTGCACCAATTTACATTCCCACCAGCAGTGCGTGAGAGTTCCTTTCCTCTGCATCTTCACCAACACATTATTTCTTGTCTTCTTGATACTAGCTATTCTGACTGGTGTGAAGTGATACCTTATTGTGGTATTGATTTGCATTTCTCTGATGAATGATGTTGTTGAGCATCTTTTCATGTGTCTGTTGACCATCTGTATGTCTTCTTTGGAAAAATGTCTATTCAGATCCTCTGCCTATTTTTTAATTGGATTATTTGTATTTTTGGTGTTGAGTTGTATGAATTCTTTATATATTTTGGATATTAGCCCCTTATCAGATATATCATTTGTAAATATTCTCTCCCATTCAGTAGGTTGCCTTTTCATTCAGTTTTAGATGTTTTGAGTTTGAGGTAGTTGTTGGATATTTAGGTGAAGATTTTCAGTAGAGTTTAAAAATCAGGAGAAATAAATTATATAAACAGTGGTTGTTGTTATAAGAACTTATGCATTCACTTGCAAAGAGGTATTGAGCAATGATTCTTTTTCTCTTCTACCTTCCACCCATGGATTATATGGAGACACAATCTAATCAATACTTATGACTCATTGTGATAGTCCATCCAAACTTTGGGATCACTTGCCTTCTGTCCACAAGACCACATTTAAGTTCTGGAAGAAGTTAAGTATAGTTTGAAAAGTCACACAAATATTTTGTTATAATATCCCCAGCTCAGGCCTGATACCTACTTGCTGAGTGGTGAGAAGAAAAGAGTAAAGACCACGGTCTCCTGAAACACCTAGACATTTAAAAATAGGAAGGGAAAGTGGACTTGTAAGAGAGAAACAAAGCACAGAAGGAAATCTGAGTGCAGTAGTAGCCAATGGAAGAAAAAAATTTTAAGGAGCAGGTAACAGTATTAATCACAAAAAAGTAAATGAAGATTGTTGGCATTGACAAATGTGAAGTCCCCATGGAACTATACAAGAATATTTCAGTAAGTTGGCAGGGATGGAAGCCCCTCAGAGGTGAGTTGAGAAGTGGGTGGGTATTTAGAAAAAGCTAGAGTATCAAAGAAAAGAAAACAATACAATCATAACTGGATGTCCCCCCCCCAGTCTTTCATATCTGCTACCACAGTTTGTATGACTTGATTAAGAGATGCTTGGAAAATTCTTGCTGAATGGGTGAGAGCATGGATGTGTGAATACATTCTTGAATAACTTCAGGTTCCGTTAGGTATTATCTTCTCTGAACCATAAGAGTCATTGAGAGTATTATTGTATCGTTGTTGAACAAGTGACAGTTTGGTTTTAGCTTTAATGGAGAATAAAGAGCACTCTTTCCATTCAAGTGAACTACTTTCTACAGTGCCCTGTTGACTAAGGATGTTATAAGTACCTTAGGGATAATATGTAAATCTTTAAACTATAAAGCACTATATAAACATTATTTATATTGCAATATTACTACTGCATTGATGAATAAGAGAGGCCAAAATGAGTTTTCTCCCCTTTTAGGTGTGTTTTCAGATACTAATTTATCTTTTTACCTCACGGTTTTTGATAGTATTCAATATGGAAGAGTTATTTCTATCTTTAGACAAGAAGTCCATCTATAGCCAGTAGTAACCGAGAGAGGAAGTTAGAGAGATGGGGTGAAGGTAGGAGCAGCATCGGCTGACTTCAGGTGTCAGAATTATATCCTCAGGGTTGCCTGGGTTTCACTTGCATAGTAAATAAACCCCATGACATTTTTATAGGAACTCTGCAGGTCTAAATAAGAAGTGAGATGGAGAAGACCTGCAGTGTATTGTCAGGGGTTTTCCCACTGTTGGAAATGCTGAGGGGGTGGCATTTTAGGGAATAAGGGGACAAATTAATTTTGGTCCAGTCTAAGAACACTTAGAGAGAGAGAGCAAGAACACGAAAGAGAAAGCACGAGCAGGCAGAGGGAAAGGAAGAAGCAGATTCCCCAATGAGCAGGAAGCCCAACGTGGGGCTGGATCCCAGGACACTGAGATGATGACCTGAGCTGAAGGCAGATGCCTAACCAACTGAGCCAACCAGGCGCCCCAACTAGAAGGAATAAGGTGAAATGATTTTCAAGAGAAAGTGAAAGAGATGTGCCTGGGTGGCTCAGTTGTTAAGCATCTGCCTTCGGCTCAGGTCATGATCCCAGGGTCCTAGGATTGAGCCCCGCATCGGGCTCCCTGCTCTGCGGGAAGCCTGCTTCTCCCTCTCCCACTCCCCCTGCTTATGTTCCTTTCTCACTGTGTCTCTCTGTCAAATAAATAAATAAAATCTTAAAAAAAAAAAGAGAAAGTGAAAGAAACCTCTTAGATCTCTCCCACATATTCTGTTGCAAACATTTATTGGGCCCCCACTATGTGCAGGGCATTCAGTGTTTCTTAGTAGGGTTTCTATTTGGTGGCAAAATACTTCATCAAACCACTCCCCACCACACAAACACATTGTGACAACTAAAAATGCTTCAACATGTTTCCAGACACTCCTTTGGGGCATTCTAGTTGAGAACCAATGATAGATGGTGGAGTTTTAAATATGAATGAGACCATACATAGGTCTCTTGTGTCTCCTTTACAGACTTGAAATCGTTATGATTAGCATGCACAGTTCATTAGTCCTCTTCATCAGCCCATTACTTGGATTTATGTTTCAGGCTACCTAACTGATGCACTGCTTTTCTTGAGAAGAGAGATGAAAGAGGTGGTCTCCATAGGGGGGTTACATTAAAAATAAACAGTATTTCCTGAGTGCTGGCAGCATCTGAGATAGCACCAGATTCGGAAGGGAAGGCTGGCTAATAGGGTGTCATGTACATGGGCAACCATGGAAAGTTGGAAAACACTAAAAGAATCACATGACCTTCCTAAGATCTTTAGGGCTGAAGAAGACAGAGACCTAAGTTTTAAACATCAAACACCTGGATGGTGGATTTTTGGCTTTGGATTCAGATCATGATCCATTTCAGGAATCTATCAGAAATATACTTGAACTGATCATTATCTTGAGATCTTGAATTGGCTGAGAAATATCCCTGTTCCATAAATCCTACCTATTTCACTGTCGGGATCCCTCTCCTCCAGTATTTTGGATGGTGTTTGAAAGGCCCTGGGGAGGATTGAACTGTACCTGGCCTCTGATCCCAGCACCCCAAGAGTGCTCTAAATTCCAAGAGAATTTGGAGCAGATAGTTTTCTGCCAGTCCTCAAAGCAGACTGTCTACGGGCTTTTTTGGAGAAAATCCCAAGTGCAACTTGTACCAAATTAAACCCAGAGGGTTCTGCAAGGATGTTCTGGCCTTTGGATTGCAGTGAATAGAACATTTTTGTGGTTCACACTGGAGGTCATGGGAGAGTCCAAAGGAAATATTGGAAGCCAGAATTATAGTCCTTCAAACTGTCCCCAAAACCTCTGCATCACTGATTTATGAAGTATCGCTTCAGTGGGAAAAGAACAGTATTAAGAGATACTATTGTATATGTAATTAACAAGGCTAAAAAAACACCTCTAAAGACAACCCTATTAGATATAGAGATAGCCAACTTTCAGATTTATCTTATCACCTTTCTATCAAACCTGAGAAATATCACTAAAAGGTTGTGTTCACTTGTTTGGTCTAGAATGAATCCACTGCCCATTTCTTATTCTTCCCTGAATCTCTGCCTTGGAATGATCAAGTTTTCCTACTTTCAGTTCTTAATACAGTCTGTCATCCAACGAGGTATCTTGAATTTAAAATTCCTAATATAATCTGTTTCTTCTCCTTACATACTCTTGAGCTAATACCCATTATAAGTAGAAATTAAGGCCAAGTTATTCCCTTTTAATGACAAAAAAATGTAAAATTAAAATCATGCACAATACAAAACTAACCAGCCCTCAAGATAATCTAAAACTTGTCACATAAGAAGAAAATGCCCAGATACTGTGCTTTCTAATAGCTAGATAAGAATGTATGCACATTTCATCTAATTCTTCTGGAAATTTAGACAAGCATTTGTCTGGTTTAGCCTAAACACCAAGGAGATCAGAACATACATTGCAGTGCATGTCTCTGAAGAGGTCGTTGGCATGTTCAACCCAGTCTGCCCGAGACTTTGGGTTAACGATGACATTGTGAGGCTCTGGCCTAGACTTTTTCTTTTCTTGCATTATGAATTCTATTTTCCTTCTTTATTAAGCATGAGAGAAACTTGGATGTATAATACAAGATTTTACCTTTGTGAATGTATCTGGCAGCGCTAGGGTACAAACAGCCTCCCAGCAGCAGTGGCTCAGAGTAACAGATTTTATTTCTTACTCATATTACATCTTGCCTTCATGGTAATTACAGTTCAGTTTTGCATGTCTTCCTTATTTTAAGATCCAGGGTGAAGGAGCATTCCCTTCTATGAAAAGAGAAATGGTGGAGTCACTCATTGGTTCTATTTTTTTTTAAGTTATGTTAATCACCATACATCACATCATTAGTTTTTGATGTAGTGTTCCATGATTCATTGTTTGTGTATAACACCCAGTGCTCCATGCAGAACATGCCCTCTTTAATACCCATCACCAGGATAACCCATCCCCCTAACCCCCTCCCCTCCAGAACCCCCAGTTTGTTTCTCAGAGTCCATAGTCTCTCATGGTTCGTCTCCCCCTCTGATTCCCCCCCTTCATTTTTCACTCGTTGGTTCTTAAAAGTTCTGCTCAGAACTCCTGTTCACATTTCATTAGTTTAATCAAATCACATGAACAAGTCTGATGTTAGGAGGCGTGAGAATATAATCCTCTTACAGGGAGAAATAGCAAGTAACTGGGAACAAGAATACAATTAAAGTGTATAATGTGTCTTGGGGTATAATTTGAAAGTGTAAGGAAGAGAAGAACTCCTCTAGAATTCTAGCTGGAGATAACTCAGGTCCCCTGTTTCCAGTAAAACAATGGCATAGCTTTTTTTGTTTGCTTTTTTCAGAATAGTTCTATTTTATATAGTTGCAAAAATAACATCACATTTTCCCCAATAATAAAAATAACATTCTCATAAAAAATTAAAAACATACAAGATGGCATAAATAAGAAAGTAAAATTCAGTAGAAAACATCTAAGTAAACACCTAGCAAAATGAAAAAATATATTCATACATATACATATATATGTACTTATACATAAACATTCATAATAGGTCTGTACATTGTAGCTTAAAATTGGAAATATCCAAATGTCAACAGGTAACTAAATAAATTATGGTATATTCATTCAGTGGAATACTACTCCATAAAGAAAAGAATACATGCAAGAGCATGAATGAATCTCAAAAACTTTACGCTGATTGAAAGAAGCCAGATGGGAGAGATTACATGCTGTGTGATATCATTTATGAGAAACTCCAGAAAAGGAAAATCTAATCTAAGGTGGCAGAAAGTATATCAGTGGCACCCTGGGGCGTGAAGTGGGCAGGGTTGATTGGGAAGGGCTATAAGCAAACTTTCTGGGGTAATAGAATTATTATGGTGATGGTTACTTAAATGTATGCATTTGCCAAAATTCTTTGAGAAGTATGAGATGATACATTTTATTACATGCAAACTATAAAATTAAAGTTAATTTTTGAATTATTGACAAATATCAGAGATTCTTAGTTATCTTGTAACCAGCCTATTTATTGAACTTTAGAATTAGTTATATAATTATTTAGTTGATTTTCTTGGGTGTGCCAGATAAACAATCATATTGCACATTTTTAACTTAATCACATGGACTGACAATTCCAAGGCAATATTTAATAAGCAGGAATGGATTCTTGACAGTACTCTTGACTGATTAAAATTTTTACCAGTGAGGAAGATACTTGATCTTGAAATCAAATAACTATTCTTTTTTTTTTTTTTTTTTAAGATTTTATTTATTTTTTAGAGAGTGAGCGAGAGAGAAACAGCATCAGAGGGGAGAGGGTCAGAGGGAGGAGCAGGCTCCCCGCTGAGCCGGGAGCCCCATGCGGGACTCTTTCCCAGGACCCTGGGATCATGACCTGAGCCGAAGGCAGATGCTTAACCATCTGAGCCACCCAGGCATCCCCAAATAACTATTCTTTTTAATTAAGGAACAATATATTCTTTTTCTTCTCCCAAGTTGAATTTTGATTAGAAATGAATGCTGTATTTTTCCCAAGACTTTTTCAGTGCGAGTTGTCTTATTTTTATTAAAGTATTATATTACTAATTTAATTTACAAATATTGAGCCAACCTTGCTTTTTTGGACTAAACCCTACTTGGTCATGGTGTATTCTTTTTTTTTAAGTCCGTTTTATTGAGGTATAATTTATGTACAGTAAAATTCACTCTTTTTTAAGTACATAGCTTGTTGAGGTTTTTTTTATTATTATGTTATGTCAGTCACCATACAGTACATCATTAGTTTTTGATGTAGTGTTCCATGATTCATTGTTTGCTGTTGAGTTTTAACAAATGCATACAATTGTGTGTTTATTATACTTTAATATACTGTGGGATTTAATCTGCTTATATTTTATTTAGAATAATATAATCATAAGTAAAATTGATCTATAATTTTTGGTACTGTCTTGTTAAGTTTTGACATCAGAATCATACTAGCATTTTAAAATGAATGAGAATGTTTCTTTTTTATGTCCAAAGAATATTAAGCAGCGTAGAATGTCTGTCTCTGTTTCTTGGAGGTAGCTGGGATTTGCCTTAAAATAAAGCAAGACCAAAAAAAAAGAAAAAGCACAAAAACTCTCTGGGATTTGTACCTGTTGGGGACATACTTTCTTGAGAAATTATTCAATATATTCCTTGGTGATGGTAGTAATGATAGTGATGATGAGGGCAATAGTGGTAAGATTTTCTTAGGATAATTTTCTTAACATATTTTTTAAGGAAACTTTCCATTTTATCCCAGTTTGACATTTATTAACAAAAATATTTCTTTTATACCTAAAAATAAATCCAAAACTTACTATATGCATTTATATCCCTTAATCTTAATATTATATAATTTTATTATTTATATGTCATTTTGTTCCTTTTTAAATCTGTTAGTTTTTAAAATTTTTTCTTATTGAGGTGAAGTTCATAGAATATAAAATTAATCATTTTAAAGTGTACAATTCAGTGCCATTTAGTACATTCAGAATGCTGTGCAATCACCACCTCTATCTAGTTCTGAAATATTTCCATCACACTAAAATGAAATCCCATACCCATTAAGCAGTGACTTCTTATTCTCCCCTCCCAAGCCTCTCCACCATCTATCTGCCAACATGTTTCTAGCAACTGCACTATTTTACATTCCCACCAGGAATGTATGAGGATTCCAATTTCTCCACACATTTGCCATTTTCTGTTTGTGAAAAACATTTGTGGTCATCCTAGTGGGTGTGAAGTGTCATCTCATTGTGGTTTTGGTTTGCATTTTCATAATGATTAATGATGTTGAGGTATTTTTCATTTTAGAGAAATGATTTTCATATATTTTCTTCCATTCTATAAGTTTTCTTTCCACTTCTTTGATAATGTCCTTGATACTCAAAAGTTCTTAATTTTGAAGCAGTCCAATTTCTCTATTTTTTGTTGTTGCTTATGCTTCCAGGGTCATATCTAAGAAAGCATTGCTAAATTCAAGATGATGAAGATTTACCCCTGTTTTCTTCTCATAACTTTATAGTTTTAGCTCTTACATTTAAATCATTGATCCATTTTGAGTTAATTTTTTTATATGGTGTAAGTTAAGGGTCCAATTTCATTCTTATAATTATGGATATCCATAATTTCCAGTAGTTTCAGTACTATTTGTTAAAGAAACTGTTTTTACCTGATTGAATTGGCACCATTCTTGAAAATCAATTGGCCATAGATGTATGGGTGTATTCCTAAACTCTCAATTCTAGTCCATTGATCTATCTATATGTACATCCTTATGACAGTACAACACTGTTTTGTTTACTGTTGCTTTGTTGTAAATTTTGAAATCTGAAAGTGTGAGTCCTTCAACTTTGTTCTCCTATTTCAAGATTGTTTTGGCTATAAGGATCCCCTTACAATTTCATATGAATTTGAGGATTAGCTTTTTGATTTCTGCAAAAAAAAAAAAAAAAAAAAAGACTATTAGATTTTTGATAGTGATACATTGAATCTATAGTTAGCTTTGAGTAGTATTGCCATTTTAATAACATTAAATCTTCTAATCCATGAACATGGGATGTCTTTTCATTTATTTAGGCCTTCTTTAGTTTTTTTTAGTGATGATTTTGTTTTTGTTTTCTGTATACAAGTCTTTCACCTCCTTGGTTAAACTTATTCCTAGATATTTTATTCTTTTGGATGATATTATAATGGAATTGTTTTCTTAATTTCCTTTTTAGATTGTTTATTTTTGGTGTATAAAAGAAACACAACTTACTTTTGTGTATTAATTTTGTGTACTGCAGCCCTGCTGAATTTATTAGCTCTATAACTTCTTTACATTTTAGTAGAATTCACCAGTGAAACCATTGGGCCTAGGGCCTTCTTGTTTAAAAAAATTACAAATAATCGATTCAATTTATTTATTTATCTGTTTCTCCTTGTGTAAGTTTTGGTAGATTATGTCTTTCAAGGAATTTGTCTATTTCATCTAAGTTATCAAAGTTGTAATATTCCTTTGTTATCCTTTTAATGTTTATAGGATCAGTAATTATGACCCCTCTTTCATTTCTGATGTTAGTAATTGGTTTCTTCTCTCTTTTTTCTTGTTTAGCATGGCTAGAAGTTTAACAATTTTATTGATTTTAGAACCAGCTTTTGATTTCATTGATTTTCTCTATTGCTTTCATTGATTTTTGTTCTAATTTTTATTACTTCTTTTTTCCTGCTTATTTTATATTTAATTTACTCCTTTTTTCTCACGTTTTCTAGGACAGAAGCTCAGACTATTGATTTTAGATCTTTCTTCTTTTCATATATATGTATTCAATGCTATAAATTTTGTTCTCAGCACTGCTTTTGCTGCACCCCACAAATTTTGAGAAGTTGTATTTTATTTTTATATAATTAGAAATATTTTTAAATTTTTCTTGAGACTTTTTATTTGGCTCAGGGATTATTTAGAAGTGTGTTGTTTAACATACTCATGTTTTAGAATTTTCCAACTTTCTGTTACTGATTTCTACCTCAATTCCATTAGGTATGAAAGCATACTTTGGCTTCTATTCTTTTAAATTTGTCCAGTTGCTATAAACCTTTCACTACTTTCCAGAGTTCCAATAATGTTGATTAAGACAGTTTTTGCTTGCTTTTTCAATGTTTTCGTAGAGGTATAAAACATTTGAGCCATCTGCTCTGCTATTTTTATGTACATCTGTCAGATATTTTTATATTTCATTTGACTTTCCAATGAACCAACTTCTTTTTAATTAATTCTTATATTTTTCTCTAATTTATTAATTTATAATTTTATACTTAATTAATATCTCTTAATTCTTATTTTATTTTATTCTTTTTCCATAATTTACACTTGAATGTTTAATTAAGTTTTTTTCTTTAAAAACAAAGTTGTTCAATGCTATGAATTTTATATGAGCCTAAAGTTAGCTAGATATCTTAAGTTATTAAACATAATAGCCTCATTATTTATTTTTCTCAAAACAGACTGTAATTATAGTTTTTATTCTCCATTTAATCTAAGAATTATTCTTTAAAGTGTTATCTTAAAATTTCTAAGAGATTTGTTTTATTACCTGGACTTCTTGTTATTTCTACCTATTGCATTGTGACTAGATATATCTACTTTAAATATTTTGATGCCATAAGTATAAAGATTCACGAGTACCTTATATCTACTGTAGATTGAACCATTTATCAAAATAAAATGCCATTTTAAATCCCAATGTTTTTTTGTTTACATTTCTATTTTGTCTGCCATTAATGTCGTTAGTCCTTTTCTTTTGTTTGTCTTTGCCTGGTATAGCGCATCTTTTTATTTTCTAAAGTTATGTCTTTAGGGATGTCTCTAGCAAACATAAATTAGTTGACTTTTTTTAAAGCTTAACCTGGTAATATTTGTCTTTTAATTGAGAAAGCTAATGCATCCACTTTTTTGGTGTTAACTGGTACTTAATCATATTCCTGTCATTATGTTTTATTTTTTTTTGTATCCTGATAAATATGCTCTTTATGTCTTTTGTTTTCTTTTGCATTATCCCATTTTAGTCCCCTTTTTTGCTGATATTTTAGAATTTACTCATATTATTTTTAGTCTATTATATTTGTAAAGCCTTTCCCATTTTTTGGTGCCAACTTTAAGAATGAAACAGAATCTGTGAGCTCCTCCTCCTATCTCTAAATGAAACAATTATGTAAACACATGGTCCCCTTTATCTTCCATATTTTGTTCAAAAAATCTGTATTACTAGTTATAGATATTCTAATTTTTATATTTTGAGTATTCTCTTTTAAGAACTTGTTTGTGGCATTTATATTAAGCTTCACAAGCATATTAACAATAATAATTATTTAGAATGAAGTGAGTTTTACTAGGTTCATTTCTCATAATTTTTTTTTCTTTATCACTCTCTTCCAGATGTGTTCCAATTAATTTTCCTTTTTTTTGAAATGTGAGGTCAACATAAAATTCTGGACCTCTGGGAATGTAAATGTGTACCTTTGATAAATTCCTACAGTGTTTGAACAATGTTTAAAAGTGAATGCCTTTAGCCCGGCCATGCTTTCTAGCTTATCGCAATTTCCATTGCTCCCTTCTGTCTACTTGATCTATCTGCCTACATTGTAGTTTTTGTTTATAAATTCTTTCTAAGCCTTCTTAGACCACATGCAATTTAAAATGTCCAAATGTTTAAAATATGATTCCAGGTTCTTACATTGAATGACACTCTTTTCTTTCCTGCACTTAGGCTTTGGAAGATCAGGTATGGGAACTCTTGCAGGAAGCAGACAAGACAGCTGAAGAGAACAAGGATCAGAGTCAGGTCTATGATGCCATGGCCAACACCTTGGGTGAAGCATGGGCAGCCCTTGTCTCCATGCTTGAAGGAAGAAGGGAGCTCCTCAGGTTGAGCTCTGAATTTTTTGAAAATGCGTTGGAGGTTTGTGTTTAAAAAAACTACTTTCACATCAGAGCAAATAGATAGCACTCCTGAAGATGTTTTATTTCTACAAATAGACATTACAATCAGTTTTTAAAGTGGCAGAATGACCAAGTTATATACAATACATTTAATTTTTGATTGCCAAAACATAAAATTGTTAATATTTTAAATGTAACTCTTCAAAAAAAAAACCCTAAGGGGGCACCTAGGTAGCTCAGTCGGTTAAGGGTCTGCCTTAGGCTCAGGTCTTGATCATGGGATCCTGGGATAGAATCCAGCATTGTCGGGCTCCCTGCTCAGTGGACAGTCTTCTTCTCCTTCTGCCCCTCCCCGCCGCTTGTGCTTTCTCTCGCTCCAATAAATAAATAAAATATTTTTAAAAACCCCTAAGTACAGCTAATTAAAATTAAGTAAAATATTAAGTAAAAATAGAAACTCTTATCCATAAGTCACTATGATTTATTACTTTCTTTAGAAAATGGTAATACAGTTACTAAATCAAACAATTATCCCTAATTTTACATTATTAGGAAATGTTGGTCTAAAGTGTTCTTGTTGACTTAAAGATGGAGGATAGAATTTCTTCTGCTATTTATGAAAAGGCAATTGAGGAATATTCCATAGAATAATTGACTTGTAAGCATAGCATTTTATAGAGTACTTTCCAAAGGCATATAGTTGGATTCATAGTTTGAACTCATTAAAAATTTAACGAAAGAAAAGTCCTGGACCTAAGAAGGTCATTTCCTCCTGTGACTTTTCTTGAATTCTGAGATGTTTTCACAGTTCCCAATTTCAAAATGTGAGATTCAAAGAACATTATTAAAAGAGGTGTTGTATTTGGTGTAAGACAGTTACTGGAAATTTCACTTTTGACTTCTCTGTCAACTGGCAGTACATTGATCTGATGGGAGAGCACTGCTTCATTATGATAAAGCACTAGCTTTGAAAAATATGACATTTCCAAACTCAAAATTTAGGTCTTAAATCCAAAATAATGAAGGAAGGAAGATTAGTAATAGAACATAAAAATTGGGGTAGACAATCTCATGCATCATGAACTCGTTTAAAAGTAAAAAGAAGGAGCCAAAACCTTATTGTAACTTTTAAGTTTTGTTTTCCATAGTTTGCATAAAGAAGCCCAACTATGGTTCATTTTACAGATCATCTTGGGAAAAATTTCACATGTAGTTTTCTTTCCTGAACAGAAATCAGGTGAAATGCACCTACAGGGTCAAATTGTAGATACATCTGATTCATTCCATCTCAGTAAGTGGGGTATAGATGTCAACTGCCCTTGAAATTCAACTCATTTGAACACAGGAAATTATCTTTCTTCAGATATTAGGCCCAATATTTGTTTCTCATGGGGTAGTAGCATTAATGCCAGCTGATTTTCTCTCTGATAAGAAATTATTCCCAGATATCGCATGAAGTAAAAGGAAATACTAAGCCAACTCATAATTCAGCCCATCACTCTGATTTTTGGAGAAAAGATATGGTTTCTTATATTATCCTGCTTCCAGTTTTATGGGTCACTTAGTACTAAGCTGAAGGCAAACTCCTTTCCTGCCCCTTGTGTTGCCAAACTATTTTCATCACTGATTAACAATAATAATAATAATAATAATGAGAATAGGGTCTTTGCAAAGTGTTCCACTCTTGCTAATTCTATCCTGTGCAAGATGCAAAAAGAAAAGTGGGCAATAGAAAATATCCATAAGGTAAAAGTTAACAGAACTTTAGGGAAAATTTTTCTGAGTAGCACATTGTTTGCTTATTTATTTATTTTAATTTCAAATAACAGTTGAAATATGTTATAAGTTATACAGTGACTCCAAAACTTTTTGTAATGTTCTACAGAGAAAAATCAAATCACCTTCTAGGGTTGGTTTTGTTTGTTTGCTTGTTTGTTTTGAAACTTCTCTTTGAAGAATACCCTTAAAATAAGCTATCAGAAATGGAATGAATTAAAGTTGTAAATGATGTGTGGATAGGATTCCCTTATTGAACTATGATGCATGCAGTTCCATAAAAATATAAAATGATTTCTTATTGCATGGTTGATAATTATTACGGGACTGTTTCTGATTCACTGACTTAACCATCAGACAGGTTATTCTCTTATTAGACACTATGCTGCACATTAGGAACACTGTCCCTAAGCAACAGTGGCTGATATCCACCAGATTGTTCTAACACGATAGTGGAGGCCTTCTCCATATTTCCAAAGAGAACATGCTCATTAGTCTCTCTCTCATCATTCCATGCCATTTATAACTGGATTTTTTGTGGCTATGGTAATAATAAAAATGTAGTAGAACTTGTTAATCGAATAATTACAAAAAATATTAAAAATCATTAAATTCATAGATGATAGTTTGGAGAAAACTTGAAAAAAAAGATAAGCATGTGATAAGCTTTTGTGTCTTTCTCACTGATAGTTTACCTTTATGAGTTTATTCAATACCTGATACAAAGGTAAACCTATTGATTAAACTTTTGAATCTGAGTTCTAAAACAAAGCAACTACTGTCTAGCTAGACTACTACTATGTCTACTACCATGGATGTACTGTACTGGTAGAACCAAATATGTTTTACCCTCTTCTAAAATTTTTTCTAAGATTATTCCCCTGAGAATTTTACCAGCATTTCAAATACCTCTCCTTCCTATTTCCTCCAAGGAGAAAGAGAGATGGGTCATATTCCTCACCATTTAGGATGCGAAATAGCTCTTTTTTTTTTTTTTTAAACAGAGGAAAAATTTTCCTTTTTTTATTTTTGCTGTATCTAATCTCATTTTTATTTATATAAAGAATGCATAAGATCATTGATAAAAATACAAACAAAATTACAAATTATAGATTTAAAAGGTAAAAATTCACACCCCCATCCTTAATCTCATTCCTTCTCATAAAGGTAATCCCTTGGTGTGTATCTCTTCAGATCACTTTCTTGTTTTGTATAAGAAATGGTATTAGACATTACTTCTTAGCCTTTTTGTTAAGATCAGTATAGTAAGGAGATTAGACTTGTGTTATTTTGAAAGTTACATTTTTTGGTTCTAGGTCTAATCACAGAAGAAAACATTAATTGTATTTCAACCTTCCCTCTAAGTGGGTTCTTAAATTATATTTACTTATAATTACATAGGTTACTGGTTAACCAAACTTTTATTGTTCGTTTGTTTTTAGCAAACTTTCTGGTTATTGTTTGACAAACTGCTTTATATGCTGGAAGTGGCTGCTTTGTTACATAGACACAGTAATTTTAGTTGAAAATTTCAATAGACACTTAATAGTAAACAAGTTAAATTATTTCTGCATATATGACATATATCCATGTATGAAAGGAATAGAAAGGAAGAAGAAAGTTCTTTTGCACTTTGTAAATAGACTATATGTAAACACACGGCCTCATACAAACACCCTCAGCCCCCCTCCACACACACAAGCACACACATCATCATATAAGCACACAAACACATATACAGTCAGCTAGGTCATGAATTCATGAAAAACATCTACAAATCACCCAAAGTGGCACACTGATTTTCACTTTTTCAAATGTCTTTCCCTTGTATTTGTGTTGTAGTTTGCTATTAAAATAGACCAAGCTGAAGATTTCCTCCAGAACACCCAGGAGTTTGAGAGTGCTGAGTCCTTAAAATCACTTCTTCAGCTTCACGAACATCATACCAAAGGCAAGAAATATGTTTATTCCTCATATAAGTTTTTAGAGGTTTTATAATATGTTCATGTGAGAATGCTCATGTGTGACAATGTATTTTTTTTTAATCTTTTTTTTTAAGATTTATTTATTTATTTGAGAGAGAGAGAATGAGAGACAGAGAGCATGAGAGGGAGGAGGGTCAGAGGGAGAAGCAGACTCCCTGCCGAGCAGGGAGCCCGATGCGGGACTCGATCCCGGGACTCGATCCCGGGACTCCAGGATCATGACCTGAGCCGAAGGCAGTCGCTTAACCAACTGAGCCACCCAGGTGCCCTGTGACAATGTATTTTAAATTTATCTGTTTATACCTCAAATTGTTCAAGAAAGTTTACATAAAGCTTTATTTTTGGTCATCTGCTTCAAAAAAGACATAGTTGTAAACGATTCTAAGGAGATGTTAGAGAACAGCCTCCAGAGAGTCAGTTATTCAGTCTGCTAGGTTTTAGCTCCTGAGGTCAGAGGCTGTTCTCACCTTGTTCTTCCTTGTATCCTCAGCATCTAGCAGTGTCGGCACATGGTGGATCCTCAGGAAATATTTCTTGGTTGAATAAATTGTTGAATTCAGTGAATGTTCCTTCTCAGGGTCAGGAAATGAAGATCAGCCTTTAAATAACAGCTCTGGATAAGGAAAATCATCTTTCACTACTATAGTTATTAAAAAAGGGGAGATAGTGGACTTTTTCCTCAGGAAGCCTACAGTTTGGTTGGGGCATGTACACATTTATTGGTGGGTTACCTGTGGGTCCCTGTTATACCACCCAGCTTACTATGTAGTAACAATTCATTTCCATATTTGTCCCTATCACCAGATGGTGAGACTCTGGAAGGCAGGAATTAGTACAATCTGAATCTCCATGATGTAGAATAGCATCCAACCCGAAGTATGTTTATTGAGTGTTATTTGTATTTAATTCCAATGTAAGACACAATACAATGATATAAACTGGAGCAATAAACAAGGCACTACAGGGACATTAAGGAGGAAAAAATTGATTCTAAGCCCTGAAGGATCACAACTGAACCCTCCAGTTTTCCAAAGTCTTCTTAAAATGAACATAATACCTAAGAAGCTTCTGCTCAGGAACAATCATATTATAACTTCCTTGTTCTTAAATGTTCTTAAATATGTATTTTATATGTGGCTGAGATATAGGTTCATTGGAGTCCATTATAGTATTTTCTCTACTTTTGTGTATATTTGAAAGTATATTTGAATGAGTTTAGGAAACACCATCCCACTGAGGAACATTTAGAATATTTAAAAAAATTTTAGGAAGAAATATCACCCATGATATTTCAAAATCACAGTCAGTGCCAAGACTGTGACTTTGATACTTTTTAGAAATTACTCTTTTAAAAAGATTGCTTAGCAAGTTATAAATTTACTTAAGTTATGTACATCCCTCATTTATCCATCTTGAATTTGTAATTTATACTTAAGTATGGCAAACTATAGGTATTAGTATAAAATCTACTTTAATATAAACTTTCTTAGATATAATGACAATCAAAACAAATAATAAGAATATATTAAATATTTACTTGCCTCACATCACAAGGCATTATGTCAGAAAGTAGGGTTTTATGTATGCAAAAATATGATCTTTAAAATAAACATACCATAGAGATTTTGTATTTCTTGAAGTTCATGATATTCTATCTAGAGAGTTTAACTTTGAGGAAAAATACATCACTTTGTATGATCAACTGATGGAATAAATTACTAGGAAATCACAAACAATAAAAAAGTTAAGGTATAAGAAATCAACAGAGGAAGAAACAGAGACTGACAGAGGAAACTGAGGGAAATACTTGTCCACTTTAATGACTATCTTGGTAGCAGTGATAGACTGATTTTAGCCTGGGTACAGTTTACAAGTAGCCTTGGCCAGAGACTCCATTCCTAGTGGTACTATGGTAGTAGTTATATTATTTTGGCAGATGTGAAACAGAGAACCAGAAAAAGATTGCAAATGGAAATTTTGGCTAATTGTATGTATTCTGTAGGAACCAGAATAGGTTGGCCTGTTCTTCTGTCAGTCTGCAATGCCCTTGCCCTTAGAGCTATGCTTCCCTCTCTCATTTGAAAAGTATAGTGTGTAAGAACTAGTGATGGAAAGGAAGAAAAGAAGTACTATGTGGAAACCCTGCCACTTGCCCACATTTCCTGTGTGTGTGTGTGTAACTTTTCACAATATCATAACAAACTCTTCAACGCAAAGGAATTATGTATACATATGTAGAGAGAATCAGTATACTGATTAACATAAGATGAACAAATTAAAACTCTTCAGTTTGCTACACAAGGCCCTCTATAACCAGTCTTCAGCTTGTTTTCAAGTTATTTCTTTCCCTTCTACATAAGAACTTGCTCTAGATAGGTAGGTTTTTTTTCTGCCCCTGCCTCTCCCATCTTGTTAATGTTTGCTTCCATTTCTTTGAGAGATTTATTCTAATGTTATCCCTGCCTTTTCTTACTCTGTTTGAATGATCTCAGTCCTCTTTTTGGTTCAAGTTATTTTTGTTGTTCATTGCTTTGCATCGTTAACTCCCAATAAAATTGCTCAGTGCACATAATCACACCTTCCTCACTCTAAACAGATAACACCATCTAATACTTCATTGGACAGATCTAAGTCATGTGACAAAAACTACTTCAAATTCTTTCCTTTTCATTGCAAACTCTCTCTTCACAATATCTTCACTTATCTCATTCTCTTTTCCAGCTCTCCAAAAAAAAGTGTCAAGTTAAAAGAGATAACTGGCCCAACTACCACAGCCTCATTATTGCTGTGCAGTTAACTGCCAAATGTTAGAAAACTGTTCAGAGTGCCATGGGAGAGTGAAAAGAACACTGAGCTTCTAATCAGAACATGTGGCTTTTAGGACTGCTTAGTCCAGTTCTAGTTGTGTGATGCTAGGTAAGGTACTTAGTCTCTGGATGTTCTTCATAGTTCTCCCTGTCCTAAAATTAAAAAAACAGTATATTCAACCCTGCTGATATTCTCTTTTTTTTTTCTCCCCTCTAACAGCAAATGTCTCAAAGATTGCCCTGTCTTGTTGACTTCACTTCATAACTATGTCCCCACTTCTCAACCTGGTAACTTGGCTTCTGTTTCCATCACTTTCCTATCACAAAATCTCATGCCTTCTCAAAATCTTTTTTACATCTCTAGAGAACCGCTGATCTCTAGCACTTATAGCTCTCTTAATTCTTCCCTCTCTCTTAATACATTTGATCTCATTCAAGCATTCTGCAGAAATTATTGGACATTTGTCCTGTGCCAATCACTATGCTAAGTGCTGGGGATATTGTCATTGTCACTGTCTTCATTTTGCCTTGGAGCCTGGTGGCAAAGGGAGACCTTAATCAACTAACCCAACACATAAGTATAAAACTATAGTTGTGATAAGAGCTGTTAATGAGAACAACTAATAGTATTTGATGTGGTATAGGATTTGATTCAGTCTGGTTTATCCCTTGAGGAATTGGCAGTTGAGTAAGACCTAAAGTATGAGCAGAGTAATGGTGGAGAAGGAAGGGATTAAGAATGGTGTCCCTGGGGGCACCTGGGCGGCTCAGTCGTTAAGCGTCTGCCTTCCGCTCAGGTCATGACCCCAGGGTCCTGGGTTCGAGCCCCGCATCGAGCAGGGAAGCCTGCTTCTCCCTCTCCCACTCCCCCTGATGTGTTCCCTCTCTCGCCGTCTCTTTCTCTGTCAAATAAATAAATAAAATCTTAAAAAAAAAAGATGTCCCTGGTAGAGGACAGAGTTAAAAGTTCTGGGGCAGAAGGGAATGTCAGATTTGTGATATAGTTAAAAAGAGAGGGATGAAGAGTAGAGAGATTGAGATAATCTGAAAGGGAAGATAGGAACCAGACCATGCCAGACCTAAAATCATGTCAAGGGGTCTGTCCTTAATTCGAAGGCAATTGAAAGCCATTGTGTGCGTGTGTGTGCATGTATATGATGTAGTGTATTTAGAAAAGATCTGTCTGGCTAACATATAGAGAATAGATGAATGGATTGGAGAAGGATGCAAGAGGTGGCTGCACAAGTCCAGGCAGCAAATAATGTTTTCTGTAGTAGGGAAGGAGAGCAGTAAACACACGCAGGAGACAGAGGGTGGAATTGACAGATATTGGTAATAAGGGAGAGGAATGTGTCATGGATGACTCCTGGTCATAGCCTTTAAACTTCAGAATTAGTCCATTCGCTTCAGAATGTAGAACACATCAAGGGTGGCAGGCACCTTAACCAACATCACAACACTAAAAACCAACTGACACAGCGCTCAAGTCCCATGATCTTTCCCCTCCCTTCCTGAATTACACTGTCACCAAACTGCAGCAACCTATCATTTGGCAGTTAATGCTACAGAAATTGTTAGGTCATGTTATCTGACCAAATGTATCACAGACATTTTCTATTTACACATTTTGATTCCTTACAGTACAATTTATTGTTAACATAAAGGTTATATATGTTTTAAATTATACAAGAGTTTGAATATTACTATAGAAAACCTTGCTCATGTCACTATTCTTTTTTCTTTCTAATTTTCTTCTAGAACTCTTAGAACGATCTCTAATCCTTTTAAACAAAAGTCAACAGCTCACTGACTTCATAGAAAAATTCAAGTGTGATGGACCTAATGTGAATCCTGAGTTGATTCAGGGAGCTCATAACAGCTGTCTGAAGATTGACAGCCTTCTTGAGCTTCTACAAGATAGGAGACGGCAACTCGACAAAGACCTGAAGCAACAGCAGCAAGAATTGGGTCAGGTTCTGCAGTTATTTCAGTGGGACCAGCAAGAAAATCAGGTAACCCAAAGGGGAGTTGATGATGTCCTGACCTCAGCTAATGAAGTTGGATTATTGTGTGGACTAGCTATTTCCTGGGATGTTTCCTCAGTTGTTATGGTCAAATTCTTTGGTCTTTGGTCCAAACTAACATACTGTTTTCCACATAAGTTAAATGAAAAACAAAGATTTTTATCTCCTCTCATCATAATATTGCTTTTATAAATGGGAGAGTACCTGTGGGTAGTTTTGAAAATGACTGTGTTCTACTGTTGGATTCTCTTTCTGACCTCCTTCCAGGTTAACTTTTAGACACAGTTCCTTGAAATTCTGAAATATAAATTGTAGCTTTCTTGAAAGTTGGCAAGGCATGATGGTGCTGAACTGTGTAGTACGTTGCTACTAATGCCAGTGAAAAAGTCTGTCAGCCCCAAGGAGTGTTCTTAGAAGAATGGCCTGGAGCCAAGGAAGAAATATGACCTTGGCCTGTGGCTGGATGTCAGTAGTTAGAGGGCTTTGGGGCAAGAGGTTTGTGTTTGCAGGCTTTTTAGAACTCATTGCCCCAACTGCAGGCTCGGCTTTGGTCAGTTGTCAATATGCTTGCTGTGCACTTCTTTTGTCCCAATTACGTAAGGGTAAGCATGGATAGCACTCTTTGCAAACCTCCAAATTAAGTAGGTGGGATATTTATTGCAATATTTCTAACTGTCCCAGTCCCGTGCTGAAATCTGTACAGAGGAAAGAGAGGGGATTTTCAGGGAGAAATATGTGGAAGAGGCCTCCCGGCCTGGATGCATGGGGAAGGAGTCTCTTCACATGTTTTCTGTTGCTGCTCTGATCCAGATCAGAGACAGACCTATAGCTGGGAGCATATATGAGGCCAGGAGAAACTGATTCTTATTTCAGGCTGGAAAAATGAAGACTTCAATGATGATCAACCCTTCAACTAATGCTTATCGAGTACCTACCATGTGCCAGGTGCTGTTATAAGTACTGGGAATAACAACACACAAGACAAAGTCCTTTTCCTCCAGGAATTTCCTTTCTAATGCAGCTTCTCAATCTCAGCACTATTGACAGTTGGTGCTAGATAATTTGGGGGGCTGTCCTGTGTACTCTAGAATGTTGAGCAGCATCCCTGGCCTCTACCCACTAGATGTCTGCAGAATATCCTCCAGTTGTGACAACCAAAAATGTCTCCAGACACTGCCAAATGTTCCTGGGGGGCAAAATCACCCCCAGATGAGAACCACTGTTCTAGTGTGATTAGAAAGGCATACCATAACCAAATGAATGATGATAAGCGCTATAAAGAAAATCAGATAAGGCAATGAATTTGTCTTGTGTTGGTCTACTTTTAATCAGAGAAAGCCTCTCTGAGGAGGTGGCATAGAGCAGAGGCCCAAATGCAGAGGCCTCCAGTCATACATTCTGCTTGAATTTTATTGCCTCCCCCTCAAGTCATCATACACTTTTTTTTATTATGTTATGTTAATCACCATACATTAATCATTAGTTTTTGATGTAGTGTTCCATGATTCATTGTTTGCGTGTAACACCCAGTGCTCCATTCAATACATGCCCTCTTTAATACCCATCACCTGGCTAACCCACCCCCCCACTCCCCTCCCCTCTAGAACCCTCAGTTTGTTTCACAGAGTCCATAGTCTCTCATGGTTCATCTCCCCCTCTGATTTCCCCCCCTTCATTTTTCCCCACCATACACTTTCTAACCCACCTCCACTCTCAGCCCTTTTGCCCAGACTCCTGCCCACTGCTGTCTTGTTTCTGCTGTGCTTTGCCTGCCGACCTCCACCCACTCCCCAGTATAGCTCTTTGCCTACCCCAAACTTTACATGCTCCTTACCAAGAATACTGTTATCCAGTGCCATAGTCTTTTACTGAGGATTTGGGCATAACAAAGGAAAATTAATCCTTAGGACAAGAATGAACTTAAAATTGTTTATCAGACAAACATTTCCAAAGTTCCCTGTTTTCTCTGTTGTGAGTCCTTTATATACCACTCTCTTTCTCTCTCCCTGTCCCTCCCTTCTCTCCTCTAATCCTGACCTGACCCCATGTTCCCAGAGCTGCTGTGCCTTTCAAGAAACTTTCCTCTTACCTCTCTGCATTGAGTTCATGACCCCACCCCTACCTCTAGGGCTTCCAAGTTTCAAAATTAACATTTTAGCCCAGTCACATACTTAAGGGAAATCCAGGTACCTTGTCATCCCTGGAAATCAGAAAGACTCAGTGAGCCCTCTAACTTATGGGGTCTCATTTTTTTAGGAGGATTGTGTGTTTTTATTGAGGAGGTGCTTTTTTAAAGTAGACTTTATTCTTTAGAGCAGTTTTAGATTCACAGTAAAACAGAGGAAAGTACAGAGTACCCTTTCTTCCCACACATATACAATCTCTCCCACTATCATCATCCTGCACCAGAGTGGTACGTTTGTTACAATCAGTGACCTAAATTGATACATCATTATCATCCCAAATCTATAGTATATGTTAAGGTTCACTCTTGGTGCAATATATTCTGTGGCTTTAGTCAAATGTATAATGACATATATCCACCACTGTAGCATACAGAATAATTTCACTGCCCTAAGAATCCTTTGTGTTTTGCCTCTTCATCCCTCGTTCACCCTAATCCTTGGCAACCACAGATCTTTTTACTGTTTCCATAGTTTTACCTTTTCCAGAATGTCATATAGTTGGAATCAATATGTAGCCTTTTTGGATTGTCTGCTTTCACTTAGTAATATGCATTTAAGATTCCGCCATATCTTTTCATGGCTTGATAGCTCATTTCTTTTTAGTGCTAAATAACAGTTCATTGTCTGGATTTGTCACAGTTTATTTATCCATTCACTTACCAAAGGAGATCTTGGTTGTTTCCAGGTTTGGGCAGTTATGAATAAAACTGCTGTAAGAATTCATGTACAGATCTTTGTATGGACATAAGTTTTAATTCATTTGGGTAAATACCAAGGAATACACTGCTGGCTCATATATAGTAAGAGTATGTTTATAAGAAACTGCCAGACCATCTTCCAAACTGGCTGTACCATTTTGCATTCCCAACAGCAATGAAAATTCCTGTTGCTCCATATCCTGCTCAACATTATCAGTGTTATCAGTGTCTTGGACTTTGGCCATTCTGATAGGCGTTTAGTGGTATCTCATTGTTTTAGTGAGTCTCATATTTAAATTGGGAATAATAACTCTTAATTCACAGAGTTGTTCTAAGGATTAAATGAAATAACTTGTATAAAACATGTAACACAATGCCTAGCATTCTAAGAGGAACTTAACAAAATATTAGTTTCCTTGTCTTCCCTCTCTTTGGTTAAGCCTTACAACCTATGAATTCTTTCTCACCTGGTCTATATTCTTTCCCCTGGGAAAGAATGTGTATTTGTGGTTAAGAGAACTAGGCTTTCAATTAGACTCCATTTCTAACAGTCCCAAACAAAAATCCATTTAAAAATAATAATACAAATAAATGTTATTTTTAATAAAATTGGCCAGTAAATAAGTTAGTCATTTCCATAAATATCAAATTTAGGCTCTTAATCTTAAAATATCCCATGTTATATTTTCTCTTGTTAACACCAGTGACAACAGCTGGAGTAATTAATAAAATAACTGTTGCAGGGCGCCTGGGTGGCTCAGTTGGTTAAGCAACTGCCATCAGCTCAGGTCATGATCCTGGAGTCCTGGGATCGAGTCCCGCATCGGGCTCCCTGCTCAGCAGGGAGTCTGCTTCTCCCTCTGACCTTCCTCCTTCTCATGCTCTCTGTCTCTCATTCTCTCTGTCTCAAATAAATAAATAAAATCTTAAAAAAAAAAATAACTGTTGCTTCTGTGTGCTACCTTGTAAGAGCAAAGATACTGGGTCCAGACTGTTGGCTGAGTTAAAGTCCTGGCTCCATCACTTACTAGCTGAATAACTGCGCAATTATTTAACTTCCCTCAGACTCAGTTTTCTGTATAATGTAGATATAATATACCTACTTCAAAGCGTTGTTAGGATCATCAAGCAAGGTATTATAATGCCAAGTGCTTAGAAGAGTACCTGCCACATAGAACTGCTATATTAGTATTAGCATTTTTTGTTATCCTACCTGAAAACGACGGTGAAGACCCAACATATTACATACTCCTATACTCCTACCCACTTCTACCACCATGCTCAAGTAAAGACTATTCTTGCGTTGAGGCCAATCTCACTATTTGTCTTGAGTTCAAAAGGTATGATTAAATAAAACTTACTCTGATGATCTCAACAGCCATACTTGTTCAATGGGCATTCAATGAGTAGTTTAAAACAAAAAGAGGGGCACCTGGGTGGCTCAGTTGGTTAAGCATCCAACTCTTGATTTCAGCTAGGTCAATGATCTCAGGGTTGTGAGATCGAGCCCAACATCAAGCTCTGTGCTGAATGTGGAACCTGCTTAAAAAGTTGTATTTGTTTCTGCTTGTCACTTAATAATGCTCATTTGTTAAAAATGTAGATCACTATCCATATAGATAAGTGCTATTAGCATTTGGCGTACTGCCACCTTCTAGAACTTTATGTAAGCATATGAGCACGGTCACAGGCACACACACATTTATTAAAGAAACACCTAACAAAACACGTAAAAATTAATGGAATTAACCTATGTATGCTATATTATTACCTGATTTTTTAAATTAAATTGAACAAATCACAGGTATATTCTTGGTCAAAAGTACAACGTATCATTTTAATATAGTATTTCACTATTTGAATGTAGCATAGTTTTCTTTATTGAAGTATAGTCGACATCCCATGTTATATTAGGTTCAGGTGTACAACAATGTTTTGACAATTCTACATATTATGTGATGCTCATGCTCCTCAGGATAAGTGTAGTTAACAATCTGTCATGATATAAAGCTATTAAACAATTTAAACAAAATTTTATTGATGAGGAAGTATAGTCTCTCCAGTTTCTCAATATTATAAACAATAATTCATGCTTAGTGTGTTG